CAAATTGTTAAGTTATAAAGAGGGTGTTTTTTTGGTAAATGATACCATTTTAGATTTAAACATGCAAAAATAGCAGAGTAGCTTGTGGGATGGAAAAAAGGAGAAGGAGAGCCAAGTGATGCACCATTGCTATTACATGATGATTGACAAATTACTTGGCACTGAAGAGCTTCAAAATGCTTTTAAATCCTGTGTGGACACTGGCACTGGTGCAGTCTTCTCCCCCACCCCTGCCAATTCTGTGGCCCACATTCCCCGGTTGTCTTTTACTTAGGAGTGACCGTCATTTCCTAGCAGCGTAATTTTTTTCACAGTCAGTCTTTCATCACTGTTCTGCCTTGATGCCCACTTGGTCTGTGGTCAGGATCCGACATTCTGCTGCCAAGCACAGAAGCCATCCTGTTTGTCTTGAATTGCAGGTGCCGCTTTGGGAGATGATCTTTTCCTCGTTTCCTGACACCTGCGTATTGAAAGAAACTTAGGACGGTGCTTGTACTTTTTGGTATGAGAGTTTCATGTGATACAAGAACAAGATTTCTGTTTAATTAACTAAGTGGGTTTTGAAGTTAGTTTATGTGTCAGAAACAGTAGTGTCTTCAGTTTGGGAGGATCAAACAGAGTTTCAGGATGACTCTCCTAGATGAGGATGATGAGAGAAGGAAAGGAAAGCAGCAACTACTAACGTAGCCATTATTTGTGGGTAAATAGTCCTGCAAATAGGTATTTCTAGGTATGGCTTCTGCTATATGTGTCTAGCTTCTGGACTTAATGCTATAAATGCAGTTAATATTAGACTTAATTGCTGTTACTTTTACCTGCAAAGCAATAATAATAAATACAAGGCTGAGATGCTAAGATGTTGACAATCAAATCTGTATAAATAAAGGAACTTCATTCAGTCATATAAATGAAAAAGTTTAATCCCATTTGAGGGTTGATATACTTCCTCCTACAGATGCTGATCCAGTAAGATCAAGTTTCCCGTCTTGCTTCAAGTAAGTCTGTGTGAAGGCCTTGCAGCTTCGTTAGACACCTGTATTTAGGCCAGCAGACAGCCTAAAGTGTCCCGCCACCATTCCAGTCCATCTCCTATCGTTACCATGCCTGGCACCACTCTTCTGCATGGCTAAGACTGTCTCAGTTTTGTATCTTGCTCTAGAAAACTGCTCCTCAATTTCTTTTCTTTTGACTGTAAGACAGAGGTGGAACAAGGAGGTTGCTTTGTTGATTCCTTCAACTTCTTATTTGCTTTGATTTGTTACTGAGTGCAAAGTAAGTATGACAGGCTGTTGTTCTGGCATTGACTTAAGGCAAAATCTTGCCTTTTAGGTTAACACTTCATTATTGGGAAGTTTTATTAATTGTAGGACATTATTATTCTTTATCTTGAAGTCCATTAATTTTGGGAAACATTTCATTTGTTTAATGAATGCAAAACACATTACATGAACTTCGCAGCCATTGCCAAAGACTTGAAGAATGCTGATGTTGTAGAGTCAGCCTAACAGTAAAAACAAATTGGAAGAGAACAGTATCTTGCACAGGAAGCATTCTCCCGTGTTAGGGCAGTGTTAAATATTTGCTGTTGAACTAGTCATTTTCAGGCCTTGTGTGAGTAGTGGAAGTTGAACAAAGCAGTTAAACTTTTAAGATGCTAGCACTACTAAATTGAACATTTCTGTCATAAAACTATAAATCCTATACCATAAAGGATGATGATGTGAAAAAAGTACCAGATCTCATTGCACTCTTAACCAAATCTGTAAACATTTCACATGTAAAATTCCATACATATAAAATATTTCTTTGTTGCTATGGTGAGGAAAACAGTAATAAATTCTTTTTGAATAGTTAAAGTGGAATGTAGTAAAGTGTTTTCGGAGTAGTAGAATGCTGCCTAGAAGTCAGGCTTGGGCTTCAGGGAAATCTCAGGAAGGAATCTCTTTTTTTTGCTTCCTGGTATGCTAGCAGAAATAGGGGGTGGTGTATATTCAGAATTAGTTGACTCTACCATCATTTTCACCTCTTAAAAACAATACGGAAGGGGGAATAATATCAAAATACTCTGTTAATTATTGTATTCCTGCAGTATCTGTAAAATTGATAGCTTGTGTGTGTGTGTGAGAAACCTAATCTGCTTAGCAGATGATAAAAATGATCCAGCTTTCTAATGTCCTTGATACTTAGCTGACAATTTTGGGCTATAGTGAGATGACACTGATGGAAAATGCCTTAGAACAGTTACACCAGTTGACTTCTCACATATTAGCTTAAAAATTTCTTACATTTTTTTGATGTGTGAAATGTTACTCATTGCATGAAACCTTGTTTTCCTTTTCTATTACCGTTTATTACTCTGTCTCCATTGCAAACTCCAGGTATAAATTCCAAGCCCACACTTGTACCTTCAGTCAGCAGCTCACTGTATTCCTTTGCTGAAAATCCCATACAAATCCTAGATGTGTATACATAGGGGATGATGAAAGGTTAGTGTTTTCTTAGTAGAGTGAAAGGTATAAAGATTTAGATTGACAAGAATAAAACACGATACTTTCATTTCCCTGCTCAATTTCCTTTACCTCTGTGAGGTATGTATTAAGATTTTGATGGCCGTTACCACATTTCAAGATATCCTTCTACTGAATACTTCTTGAAAATTAATTCTGGGTACTGGCAGTAGTTAGATAAATTCTTAACCTAAGTGGATGCAAACAGCGTTAGCTTTGAAGAGCTTTGCTGCAGTTGTGTTTATGGAGAGCTAAGATCAGATCTTTTTAGAAAAACAGCTTCCTTCTGTGTAATATATGGCTTGCTTAGGTGTCATTGACTCTTCAGCTCCGTCTTTTCTGATACTGAATTTTTTAGCCCAGCAGATTTATTGGGATTAGTTTGGTCATTTAACTTTGTGATTTCCTTTGATAGGTAACTCTGGTTCTTTTGCTTATTCCAGAGCTTTTCCTAGTGAACCCAAAAAATGGCAATTCCAGGTAGCACATAATTCAATAAACTTTTAAACATTAAAGGAAGAGTAGAATGCCCAGCATTTATGAGACTTGACCAAATGTCTTGGACAGTGTGAGAAAGTTAGGAGATAGTATAACCTACACAGTAGTACGGTACACTGTGTGGTTCTTAAACACCTTATGATTCCCAAAAGGAGCAGTCACTTAAGAATGGATCTTGTGTGCGTATGTATACATAAAATTATAAAGATGCCTTAATGTGTATTTCTGTGCTGTATGTACAGTGTTTTTGAAGAGGAAAGATTGTAGAAGGTAAAGTGTGGGTATTTAAAAACACCTTTTGAAATTAATATATAGTTTGTGCTTCTGCTATTTCTGTTGTAGCTGCATTTTTATTTAAAAAAGCAAGGTTACTGACTTTATTGAGACTGTTAAGATAGCAGCATGAATTTGAACAGCCATGCTGTGATATTGTTAAATGTCTTCTCAAAGTGATTGAAACTTTCTCAGTATTGGTGTAAAGGGTGAGTGAAACACAGAAACAAAAGTTGTAATTAAAGAAATGTCTTCATGTTCAATTTTTATTATTCTTTTTCCTTACTATTACATGGAGAGGCAGAATTGTGGCTGCTGTGAGTCATGTTGCTCCATGAATAACATTAAAGGGAATAGCATTTGCTGTCTGCACATACGGAATTTTTCTGTTTCTGTTTTGACTGTAACTCTGTCTTTCTGGACACACCTCGCACAACTGTGAATGTATATGAGAATGGTGGGAACACAAAAGCGTAACAAGGAGAATAGTATAGCCACCTTTCAAAAATGCTTATGAAAAGGAAGCTATTTGTTCAAAGTATTTTAAAATAGTTCTCTGTGAGAAAACAGCTGTCCTTATACTCAGTAATATGCAATTGCTTTCTTCATAGCACTGAAGTGAAACCTGGAAGCAATAATTATGTTAATTTTAAAAAGGAAAAATACCAAGATTTGTCTTTTTCTAACTGCTAACCACAGAAACTTTAATATACAGAAGCTAGTGTATTTTAGTATTAAAGGGGAACTAATCTTACACTGTAAGTAGGTATGCTAGTAAATCTAGTAGGTAGGTCTGAGGAAGTTATGTTTTATTGTATAAACTGTTAGCTAGCCATAAATAATCTATAGTACTTTGATTTCCTACCATTCTTACAAAGAAACCTAAGTAGCTTATTAGCTATAATAGATGTTGAAAGCCTTTGTGCATGCTGTTTATTAAGTATTGAATTACCTGGTGTATTTGAAAGCTACACCAGTATGTAGCACTCAGTCTTGGGGTTCTTTTCCAGTTCTCATCTTTTGTTCCAGTTATTTTGCTAAGATTTCTCTATTAAATGCTTATGCGAAGGAAATCTGAACATGTAACTGACTAGAATTGTTTTAACCAATTCCCCCGGAAAATGTGTATTTATATATCTTTAGCCTTTTAATTCTCTTTTGCTCCAGTTGCAGAGTAGGGGTTAAAAGAAAATTCTTTACATTGCCAGCAATTTGTAGGCCATAGACAGCTTGAATATGGTTATCTGATTCAGGTTTTTGCTGTTAGAGAGCATGCCATCAACTGAAGAAAGACTTGATTCCTTAGCAGACATTAAAGATCTCTGACGATGCTTCCAAAAGGCACCATGATGACCCCCAATCTCCCGCCCAGTGGGGGGACATTTTATATGCCTGCCAAAGGCTTCTTCCCTTGCCCTTCCCACCATTTCAATTAGACATGATTTTCAGTGTCCTTTGAAAGACTCAGCCATGTTGCAGCACACGCTTGATTCTCTGCTGCGGCCGGTCCCTAAGCCTGCAATGTGTAGTAGAAGGAGAAAAGTTTGTGTGCACGACTAAGCGTGAATCAGGTAATGCCTGCGTGCACCACGGCGAGTTCCAGCCTCCTTAAGAAGTGCTTCAATGCAAAGAACGTGGTGTGAACGAGGTATTGATAAATCTTAACAAAAGAGTCCAGTTGCAAATCACTAAGTACAATTTTGATTTGTCTTTGTTTTTCAGAGCCAGAGCTTCAACTGTGTGGAAAAACCTAGATGTCTGGGATCTAATGTGAGCTCTGTACAGATACAGGGAGATTCCGATTACTTCATCAACTACCTTGGAGTACCTGTCACGCAGTTTTCTTATGAGGACGTGAAAACATCAGAGGTAGTTACTAATAAAAATGAACAAACTGAAAATGGCAGAAAGATGGAATTTTTTTTTTTCAGGCTATATCCTTACATGACAAGCGTGTTGTGGTAGAAAGTTACCTCCTGTTAGTCCATCTTCAGAGCTTTAAAGTGACTGATTTTACATGCATATGGCATTCAAACAAACACATAAATGTTTAGAACAAATGAAAAGGAGAGAAAAAGAGATTGGAGAACATTACGTTAAAAATGTTAATGTTGGTGATAATCTTATAGGCTACATATTATCTAAGCTGAGTTTTCAGACTGGTTTCAACATAGAGGAAACAAGTTTTGATGTTTATTTTTTTCCCTGCACAGCAGAATGAGACAGTCTTCAAAATAAATTTTATATATGTATTTTTATACTGTGGGCAATATATGTTGATGGTAAGAATCTGTATGCCTGATCAGAGTCTTCAAAACACTATGTTTTATTCAGTCCTTTGTCCTCTGCAAGGTAAGTGGAAGGAAGAGACATGTTGTGCTCTTTGGAGACAAGGTTGGAACTGGACATGAATAAACTTAGAAAAGTTTGTCCTTCCTCAGCTTTCACTGCTGTAGGTTATATCTGCACCTGGACAGCTCAAAGTGCCCTCAGTTGGTCAGCTGAGAATTGTAAAGCCTGGCATTAATTGTTTCAGGAAACAGTGGTCATCAGAAAAGGTGTGTGTTCTTGTAAATATAACACTGCACTGACTTCATGTTCCCCTCATTTCTCTTGTGCTGTGCTTTGTCTGCGTACGCGCAGATCTTTCCAAGTTCAAGAACAAAGCCAAGGCTGTGAGTCGAACTGGAAAGCTTCCTGGCACTGCTAACACGCTTCAATTTCACAAATGCAAACCAAATCAGAAATATGCCAAAAATTGGCGCGTTGTTTTCATGTTGTTGAGTAAATTAGAAGAGATTAAGTCAAGAATGTATATAAATAAGGAGACTTCTGTTTCTAGACATCACTGCACCTATTAGGCAAAGTATTCTGTTCCAGATTAAACACAAGGCAAAGGCTGTAAGGAAAATGTAAAGTCAGAAGACCTATGAGTGCAATGTTTATGACAGTCTTGTGGTCCAGTGCAAATTTCTGGTGTCACTTAGCAGCTATTCCAGATGAAATAAGATCTATAGCGCAACAAAAAGGATCTGCAAGCTTCAGTACCTGGAAATAATAAGTATTTCCCAGCAACATTTTCAATATGAACACTGAAAGTTCCCTTTGCTATTGTCTGTTTAAGTCCTACCAAAGTTACTCTTCGTGTTCAGTTAACTTTGCAGACATGCATTTTTGTCTTTCAGAATGACTCAGCAATGGTAGTAAAATCATAAAAGAAAATATTTTCGTATTTGCTTAAATATACTGCAGCAAATTTCATTCTCTGTTGAAAACTCAGCTTTTCTCTTTCTTGCAAAATCACTTCCTAGAAATAAATTTGTGATAAATGTAATCTGCAGTCTTGATGTACTGCACCTATCAGACTACAAGAGATCTTGACTCCATGAGATCCAATTCATGTGAGAAATAAATCTGCTTAGCAAAGTGTGTAAATTTCTGTTGGCAAAAGGATGATTTTTTTCCTAAAAATTAAGTTACACAGAATGATTACATTTGAATTCTTTGATATATTTTTGTTATTTATTATCTGTTTATTAACAGTTTATTAACATAGGCTCATTGTATCTCCTATATTTTATCAGACAAGAAATCTGTTTATTGTTTGCCACTTATTGCAGTTGTGTATTGGGGATTCTGTTCATTGTATCAAACAAGGATAATATCGTTGGAAGCCAGACAGAAATTATTCCAGATTTACAGCCATATTAGTAAGCATCATAGGAATTTCTTTAGAGCTGGTTTGGGATTGAAAATAACATGTTGCATTGCAAGGAGGGATTTTTGCTTGTTTGTTTCCAAGCCATTCAGCTTTGTAAACTGTGCCTCAGCTTTGTCAGCTTCATTGCAAAACAAGATTTGGATTTGGGAAGACGGATTACTGAAATAAGGTGTTTTGACGTGCTTTTGTAAACTATCATTTTGCTGTGTTGGTTTCCTCTGCTGTCTCTTTCAGCACTGTGACCTATTCAGGAAATTCTCTTCTAGAATATACATTAGTTGTTTATTTTATCCACCTGTCAGACAGCATGCAGTGTCGCATAAATCTGATGTTATTCCACACTCAAAACACCCTGGTTTAGAGTAAAAACGCCCAAGACCCGTGCCCTGTAGTCTACAGAGCACCAGTTACAGGTCAGCTTTAGAAACACATTTCTTAGTCAGGGTAATGCCAGTCCTCAGAGAGAAGGTTGTAAAAGCTTTTCATTGGCAGGATCCTGAGGAGTAAATAAGAGGAAATGAAAGTTGTAAGAGGAAACATTCAGACCAGAAGAGTAAGTAAAACTGTCTTGCTTGAAATTACCTAATACAGCAAACCACAGCCTCAGGGATGTTAAATCTGCATGGCAAATGCCTGTGGTCAGACCTGTGAGCTAGTAAAGTGCATTCTGAGTATTCAGCCACTGGTATAAAAATGCACTGAGTGAAATACAGCTCGTTTATTTACTAACAGAAGATATGCAGCATTTTAGTCTGCAGGTAAGAAGTAAACTTGGAAGAATTTCTTAGGTGGAAAAGAACATAGTAACCCATTTCCCGAGGATTTTCTTGCAGTTGCTGAAGAGAACCTTCCTCCCCACCTAACCTCTGGTGTATTGGCTTTACCTCCACATGACGGTCACATTCTTGTTTGGAATGTGTTAGAATAAAGTCCAATCAGCTGCCGATTCTCTTACTTTGAGGAGGAGTCAGGCTATTCAAGTTAATGGTTCATTTACGTCCGAGGGATCACATGGAGAAGTAATGTTGATTTCAGATCTGAATTTCTCTGCTACTGAAAGTCCATAGTTAGAAGTTTGTTAGTCCTCACCTCAGTGGAGAGCAGTATTAGAAACATCTTCACTCAGCTTTACATCAACAAGCAGTATGAAATAAAACAGGTCTAAGATCACAGACTTTGAATTCCTCATTGTTCCTCTTTCGGAATGGATACATTGAGTTGTGTTCCTTAGGAGCATCATACCTCTTCTTGGTGGAGCACCGTAAAAATAGTTGCTCTGCTGGATTCAACATTTTAATCTGATGACCAAACTTCCCTTCTTGTCCTTCTTGAAAGAGAACAGAGCAAAGTAGTTTCTAAAAGGTATGTATTTGGAGGTGTAGTAGTGGACTTCCTCACTGAAAAGGAAAGAACCAACCCCATAGTTGCAAGTTAGTTAATTTTGATTATGTCTTTCTTCACATGGTTTATAACATACTTAGTGAAGCACTGGAACGTAAGCAAATAGGAGAGAGAAAAAATACTCTTGGTTTGGCTGCCTAATGTTTGGGTACAAGAGAAAATACAATCTGGATGCACCACGGTTTCGGTTAGAGATTTGATTGTGTCTGCAGCATTGTAAATCAAACAACGTTAAACTTCAGCATTTTGAAGCCGTTCCAATCTCTTGCAAACTTAAACTGGTACAGGAATATTTTGAGGGTTTTGTCAAGATGGAAATGGACTGTTGTTATCCATTTTTGTGTCATTACAGTTGACAGTTGCATGAGGAATTCATTTTTTTAATTGTAGCTAGATGATTTCCTATATTGTCTACACATTATTCATCCTTTTCAGTGTACCCTATTACATGATGATTCCTCTCTGTTAACACAGAATCTTAAATCTCTTCTCTGATAATGTGTTAGGTTACATCAATGTTAGCTTTATCATTTTATTTTGAGAAAAAACAAGTTACTGCACTTTATTTAAAAAAAACACAATTACTCCCTTTTTTTGTTATCATCGACAGACTCATATTTAGCATGAAATATTTTATGGCAGCTGTCCAAGTTTGGGTATGCAGGGCTTACAGAACGTTTGCTTTTACACCTAGACCATAAAAGTTGTTTTCCGTATCTTCACTCAAACTTAAGTACAGGCAAGAAGTATAAAAATTACCTGTCACATTATTCACAGGCTAGACCCAGATAGTGTAATACCATGGACCACTAAGCTAATTTAGAAGAAAAATGAAAAGAGCTTTCCTTATAGAATGCATTTGTATGTAATATATGTAGAAGAGTTTAGAATTTTGACAGTTTGAGATTGTATCCTCTTTAGAGAGAATGCATAATGATTTTTATTTCTGTTGAAATATGCATAACTTTTTGAAGGTAACTTTCAACTTTCATTAGAGCCCTTATAAGTGATTTTCACCCACGGTGATGTGAAACAGAGGCCACTAAATCTTAACTCTTCCATGAATGTGGCTTCTCAGTTGTTTTACCGCCTGCCTCTGCTTCCTCCCTTTCCCCCTGTCCTGCTGCCTTCTCTTCCCTTTTTAACACTCTTGGGGGAAACTTACTGCAGTTTCTTGATTTCTGTATTTACATGCTTAGACTGACACAATGTGTGCTTCTTTCAAAAGAAATCAAAAGCTTTTCAAGTTTTCTTTGTTATGAGAAAAGAAACAGAGGAGTTGTCCTTGATGGAGAGACCTTGGCATCTAGTTTACCGAAAAAAAAGCAACTCACATGTCACATGCTACTTTCATCTCTTTCAACTGCTCGTGTTAGTGTAGAGGGAGGGCTGAGGCAGTATGGAGAGCTCTTCAGTGCCGCTGGCTTGTGTTGTTTTAAGAGTGAATGGGAAACTGGTGTTTGTACCAGTTTTTGTCTGTATGAGACGAGTACTGAACATCTGTAAGTTGTGAGGTTCTGGTGCCCGTGATGAGGAGCACCATCTTAATCCTCTGTTATGGAGACCTTCACCTGCTGTTCCATTTCTTTTTTTGTGTATATCAAGGTAAAGACTTCAACTGAACATACAAATTCATAGAAATCAGGGTAATGTGGGGAAGTTCTGGATGTTGGCCATGGGTAAAGGGTGAGGACTCTATCCAGTCAGCTGGATGGGCCACACTGGGACCTCATCACAAATGTCTTTG